TGCAGAACTCGTAAATTGGCCACATATGGACAATAAATGAGTGTGTGTGTGTGTGTGTGTGTGTGTGTCAGCAACACAGCCCCCACCGTAGCTGCTTTAGGAGGACGACAACTTACCACTCTCCTCCTCGGAGGCCGTGATGGAGAGGTGAATGGTACGTAATGTAGACATTCGGTCGACCGCGGTCACGCTCACGAGGATAGAGCAGAGAAAATACAACAAGAACGAAGCAGAGAGGTCTAAAATAGGTGGAAAATATGTCAGCACGGTCATATTGTATCCTTGAACGAGCGATTTGTCACTCAATGTCCTCCTAGTCGGAGAGGATCATGAAAATACCTAGCCAAATCGTAAAGTAGGTGTCTCTTCCCTTGCCTTAAATCGTTGTACACACTTCTTAGTCGAAGGCTCCGGAAAGCGTTCGTACCTCCCGCCACAGTCATTGTTAATGATGGAGGAAAGGTCAAACTTCGCTCCCCAGTGAAACCTCTCCACTTAGACAGACGAAGGGTGTAAATTTATACTGTGCTATAGCCTTGTTTTAAATGTCTTACTAAAGGCACACCCGCGGCGCCTTGATTGGATCAAAATTTCGTGGTGTGAGGACAGCTTTGGAGGGCGGGGAGGAACTTGGCCCAAGTAGTTAAACAAACATATCTTTCCTTTTTGTGGATGCGGTAAAGCTGGCTTGGCAAAGGAAGTCTACATCACGGAAATCTTGTAAAACCGGGGGTGTGAACACGACAATTAAGTAGGTGATTGGCTTGACATCTGTCACCTGTCACCGAGTGACAATACTTAGCCATTTTGTCTGATATATTCCCCTTTTTACTTTGAAAAATAAAAGAGCGTGGATTGTTAAAATCAGGAAAAAAAATTGTGGTGCGTCCTAAAGGATGCGTCTCTAAAATTTGCTTTCTTGATAGAATTTAAGGGTGCATCATACTACTGTAATCAGTTGTGTAAACGAGCTTGTCTGAAAGACTAAAAAGTGCAAAATCCGAACTAAAGTTTTCTTTAAAACACAAATGCTCTGTAGTCAGGGACTTCAACACGGCCGTCTTTGGCTGTCACTGGTATAAGTAGCCCGGAAGCAGGGTGCGGGGGTACATAACTCCCGCCTGACTGCCGGAGGCAAAGGGTGGCTTCATGCTCGCCTCTCCATGGCCGTTTAATTAATCTTAGCTCCTTTGCTGTTCAAAAGCGCACTTGAAGCGCCTTTTTACGAAACGTTGACGGATAATGGGAAGTCGGGGGGGCGAAAAAGGGATTCGTAATTGGTGCAGTTCCCACTGAGCTCATTACTCGGCATTAGGTCTCTCGGGTGCGAGGTTAATGCCCCGCAGAGTGTAGGCAGTAAGTCACCAACTGCAAAAAACGGTGCTCTGTAACTCTGTTCATTTATTCCTTCCCTTTTCTTGCTGCGGAAAGGAATAAGAGAGAGTTTCCCTCCTTCTTCCGATCGCTTGATTTGGCGCCGCTGTAATCCCATCAGGGTGGAAAGGGGCGGATGACTGGCATCATGGGTGGTCGGAGGCATTACTGGAGCATGACAAAATTGAAATGGCGACTAGTAATTTGATCCCACCTCACGTCTTGCTGTTGCCGGCTCTAAGTAGTGTGTTTTCTGGCATCGCTTGACATGACAGCGAATGCGGCGAGTTGTTTGATTAGACACAAGCCTTAATTAATTAGTTTATGCAGAGACGAGGAATTCGGTGAACAGTTTTTGCTCTCTGGAGGCAATGCAGCTGGCTAGCTCAATCCTGGTCAGCTACTACTTAATTTTAACTCAATAACGAAGGACGTGTATTTGATTGAGTTTGGTTGCTGAGGCACCTGCCGGTCAGGTCTCCAAGCCCCTTCCCCTCATGTTCATTCAATAAAATTTAACCGTTCTGAGGGATGACATTTCTATTTGCTGTCATTTTTTAAAGGAAATGTGATGTAGATACCAACTCTATGAGCATGTCAGTAAAAAAACGCTTTGTTTGTTTGGTCTGTTAGAGCAAATGCTTCTGTGAAGCGTTGAATTTTATTTTATCATATCATAGTAACCAAACGTTTTTTTAACGTTAAACACCTTAGAAAGGAAGAAAATAGATGCATTTAGAAGCAATTAGTAGGCATAAAATCCACGAAAGGCGAATACGAAACAACCTAAAGCCCTTGTAAAAACGTAATGTTTGTAATCATTTGTTTAAAACAACCCTTTTGAATGTCATGTAAGCAAAGAATTAGGCACCAATACAAAATCTAGTGTTGAGACGTAAAACAAAATATGCAATTTCGTGGCTGTTTCAAAAGAAATTAAACTTATAATTAACTAGTGAGGACTGGAAATTTTGTGCAGAAAATTGATCATAGTGACCTGGGATCGTTTTCCCAGAGTCCATTAGGGAAAGACTTCCTTGGTTGAAATTTTATGGTCCCCATTTTGACTAGTGGAAAGGCAAGGAGAAATTTTTATGAATAATCACTTTAACAAAGAATAAAAGGAGACATTCAGCATCTGCTCTACTACTCTTGGCTAGCTCCTCCCTCCGTGTAAAATATTCTCGTTGTTTGGAAGGAGCTTACCACCGTTCCCTTTGGGTGTTTATCCATGTTGCAAGTTTCTACTGAAGCATATTTTTTGAAAGCTGGGTAATTTTTTTCAACTCGTTTTCCCCTAGCAGCTTCTTATGTGGTCTTCCTCACCCATGAAACATGACACGTTAGGGAGATTGTCTTTTACGGCTCCTTGAGCCATTTGTTTGTTTGTAGGCGCCAAAGAAAGACTGTAAACATTCAGGCGATCCACGCGAGCAGAAGTAGACACAGACTATCCCAAATTACCTACAGTCATGCTGGAAACTACTTAAATGGATATCAATAGATGAGAGAATTGATTATCTAGAGATGGGATCAATGGCAATTTTTCAGAAATTTTTTAAGCGTTCACATAAAATCATTCTCTACCAAAAGCACGATTCTTGATGCATGCCTCTTGTTTTGAAAATTCCCATAGACAGGTGTGCTGGGGCAAAGAATCGCTGAGCAAGTTCATCCTTCATCCACACCCCTAAAATTTCGACGCAACCTGTGGTGAAGAAATCCAGATCTTCACGTTGACATTTGATAGATAACATTTGTTTATCCCTATTTTTGCGTAAAAAGGCTGGTTTATTTCATATATTAATGACACAGAACTCACGCAATGTCTTGCACGAACAACAACAACGGCTGCAATCCACCGTCAAGCGCAAAAGCGATCAAAGCCAGCAAACCGAGCCCATTCCATCGTGCCTCTTTCCAGCCTTTACCGACGTGGTGACACAGCAGCCCCTCACCGCACCGCCTTTCACCTACAGTCAGTCAATCTCCATGCCTTCCACCCCCTCCACCGCGGCAACAGGTCTTGCCTCCGCGACGGCGACAACCACGCTGACAGCAACTACGCTGCGCGAGAGGATCCAGGTGTCTTTTGGCGCCTCACAGGCGAAAACCAACCTCATTTCAGCGGCTTTTATTCACCGACTCAAACAGAGGGTGCAGCAACACCGAGAGGAGGTGACAGTCATTGAGGAGAGGCTTATAAGTGAGGATGGATCACTGTCGTCGTCAGAGAAGGAGGAAGAAGAGGAGGAGGAAGAAGAGGGAGAAATGGAATTTCACATCGCAAGACGTTTCAAACCTAGACGTCCAAGGGGACCAGTAAGTCTACCTTCCCTTTACTTTATTGCCTAAAAAACCAAAATTCGAGGCGAGCAAACTCGGAGATGATCTGCTGGAGGGGAATAGACCATCTCAATTATTTTTTTAAGTCGGCATAAGTCAAAGTAGTGATGATGGAACATACTACTTACTAACGCTCAGTAGAGCGCTGCAAGGCTACGGGGTTCGGTGCGTGGGCTGTGCCGCTGAGAGCGGAAGTTTTGACCCACGGCAAATGCAGTACCCCTGCAAATAAACACAAAGTCAAACAAAGCATCTAATCACCATAGAGTGTAAATCCTCTCGCTACCGTTCTCATGCCACAGAGGGTGCGTAGTGCCTACCCAGCACTTTGAACTGGCCACAGTTCCACATTTCCTCTTCATCCAAAAAAAATCCTTTTGCTTTAACAATCACATTTCCTGCAGTAAAAAGAGAGGAAGAGAGGAAGGGATGGTTTATTATTCTCTGTTTGCAATCGGCATGTCGTAATAACCTTTTCCATAAAAATCTGACCATAAAATTGGCACGGGGTAGGAGTGGGTGGGTGAACGAGTCGATCCCAACTTAAAAGAAGTGTATCGGAGTGGTACGGGAAAAGAAAGCAATTAGGTGCCTTAGGCAGGAGGGGTCTTTTTGCCCGTTGTTTATGAGAGGACAAATTAAAATCAAAATATGCCCTTGGATAGCAGCATCTAGCTCTTGGAGTTTTGATTACTACCAGACAAAGTTTGTCTGCATGGCAGTGAAGGGGGATTGTGTCTGTCTGTCTGTCTGTCTCTCTGTCTGCCTACCAGTCTTTCCGTGTGGCAACACAAAGTTGAGGCGCAAAATCTCCCAACCACACTAAAACAAAGCGCTTTTTTAATGTCTGGTGATTTCTACGACCTGAAAGTTAATCAGGCTTACAGCTCACCGCTGCCATGTCTGGCGATGGGTGGTAGAGGAGTCGTTCATGTGCCAACAGGATTAAAACCCCACACGCACGCCTCGGAACCTTCCGACAGCAATGTCAGCTCGTCCGCTGAGAGATGGGACGAAAACAGAGGTGTCTTGTATGAGGGCTCACGCCTAGAAGCAAATCGCAAACAACACAGTTCGCTGAACCAAAATTATTCTCTCTAAACCTTCTTTTTTAGAAAAAAACAGTTAGTAACATTCCTGTTATTTAATTATTCATCCAAAAGTGTCGGTCAATTGACGTGTCAAGTACCGATGCCATGGTCGCTCATTTCACATAAGTAGTATTCACACCTTGGTTCCGGGAAAATATCTACATAGATCGGTTATTTATTCGAAAATCTAAATAGGTTTCATAAAATTTTGTAACAGTCAATCCTTATTATATCCACAATTTTTTACGGGAGAGAAATTGAAATATCCTTTTAAACCGCCAAAATGGTGTCTCTGGATATTTCGCGTAGACATCAGAGCTTGTCACCTGACAGAAGACACCCCTCGACATATCGTAACGTCCCACTAAGGCTTGAAGAGAACAGAGTCGCCAAATCGTTCATCATTTCGTCCTTCGAAGAGAGAGAAAGGGCGAAAGTGCCATCCCGTGTGCCAACTCTCATCAGATTTTGAGCAAAGGAACAATAAATGCTGCCTCTCCCCCCTTCTCCTTCTTCTCTTGCATAATTCAATATCACCGTTGATTGCTCCGAGAGACGTAAAAAATCGCACACGAATATTTTATGAGGCAGTGATATAATCTTACGCGCTTACCCGTGGGAATTCTTAACCGAGAATGTCAGAAATGGAGGAGAACAATCCAGATCTATTGTTTTTTATCTTAAAATAGGAATTTTCTTTTAATTAGACTGCAAGTGAGGGTTGGTGTAAATGGACTGCATGGCATTGCCAGTTGGAGGAGAAATTTGCACTTCCGTAGTTCCTAAATGTCATTTAAAGTAGTCCATGAAGGTAAGTGGAGAGAATCAGTGGAGGTGTCACATGAGGCATTGATTGCGGCAAAAGGGAGATTAGTGACAATGCAGAGTGGAGGTAATTTTGGAGACAGAATGCGTCGCGGGCTACTTAATTAAGTGTTAGTAGTACAAAAAGGGCCTCGGCTCCAAATGCGCCAGAAGTTAGAAAATGACGATTACTGGAAAGATTTTTCAGCTTCCGTCAACTCACAGCAATCTTTCCCACAGGTTAGTGAGTTTGCCATGAGTGATGGAGGAAAATTGAGGCAGACTTGAGGGATTGACTGCGAGTCAACGACCGACTTGTCGAACACTCTTTGGCAAAAAGAGGTAATTGCTTGAGTGGGTACATTTTTCACCAAAAACTTCCCGGGTAGATGAGACCGCCATGCGTAGAACTGTGTGTAAACCTCTTGCTGTCGAAGATAATGAGAGACGACTTCATTGCTGCAGACGTCGCTTCAGTATTCCCACTTATCTCAGTCAACTCTAATCCCCGGTTTTTCCTTATAAACATGGATATAGCTTTGGTAAAAATAGACTTATAAAAACTCTAAAAAGATGTTTTAAGCGGAAAATTGAGGGTGGGTTATTTCTCCCTTTATGCTATGTCAATAGACCACTGGCACCTCATCTTTCCCTCAAACGATTGTATGGAAAATAAAACAGGCAGTACAAAAAGAAAAGACTAAAGACCTTAAGAATGGGTAAAGAATCAGCAACAAAGTGAAAAAAACTATACGCTTGTTTCTTTTAGGTAATGGTGATAGGCGGTGACAGGGGTTATGTCAGCCAAAAAATAAACATTTCTGAATAATTGAAATAACTGAAATAATCACCCTATGTGCTTCCGACTGAATGTTTAATTGAGAGTGAAGTGTTTGATTTGTAAATGGGTAACATTTTACTTGTATTATTTACAGACAATGCACAAATGACTCCTCTGCAATAGGTCATTAAAGGATTGATGTGTTTATAAGGCTCAGCAAGCAAAAAGCTCTACTCAATCAGTTGCATACATTTTTCTCTAAGGATTTTTAAACGCCAAACTCTATCATGATAATCAAGGTTTCTAGATCCACCTCGAAAGCCTTCGCAGCATATGAAAACTAAGGGACTTCACACTGGCTTACTATCAACCAATTTTAGCTAAAACTTTGGTTGCGCAGTGAATTTGGAGATTCACTTTTAGTCCTTACCAAAACCTTTTTTTGAGTTAACAGTCTTGATGTGGAGGAGGGGGCCACAAAACGCGTTCGCTTTCCTGAGTGAAAATTGAGACGCAAGAAACTTCAATTTATGACTGCCGAAATTAACAAAGTCAGCATAAGTTATTTAGAAAAAGGCAAAAATAACATTTTTAGGTCCGTCTAAATCGAAAAATAAAAATGTTTTAATCGGAAAATCCGAATCACTAAATGTATTTTTGACCACCACATCTAATTTATCTCACAACAACGTGGGAAAAAATATAGTCAGTTGCTATGTTTTTTGACAGAAGAGCTTACGGTTTTTAAAAAAATTGCACAAAATAAAAAGGGTAATCAGACCAAGGACGACACAAAATACACATACATGTTTGAGGCAAACATCCAAGTTTCCGACTCATGTGGAATATTTAATTTTGGCCGCAACAGCACTGCAATACTCAGATATTCTTTTTTGAATTTACGCACAAACCTTTAAGCCAACATTGGGAGAACACTTGGCTGTTGCGCGTTTGGTGCATTTTGTATTCGAGCTGACAACATCCCATAAGTTGTGCGGCAGATATAAACAAAACTCTAAAAGGGTATTTTACTTCTTAGTTTTCTAAATATCCAGAGGTTTAAAAAACAAATTAGTTCAATTTTTTGCACTAATTATGTACTCAGAACTTAGGGTGTTGTACCGTCTCTCGTCGATGACAGCTAAGTAAATAAGCAGTCGCAGAAGCATAGGTCATTCGCAATTTAAAACACTGGCATTTAAAAAATCCCAAAGCAAACAAGTTTTCTAAATTTAGGTTCATTAAAGTTATATTTTATTTTCAAACAGAATATCAGACCAAATAAATACGTCGCAGTTACTAATATCTCTACATTATTTACCCACATCAGCCACTCTCTCCTCGTGGGTAAAGCAGAGAGTTTCAAAACAGTTCCCTTGATCTCTGATTGGCCACCTTTTTTAACTAAAACAAGTAGATTTGTAATCTCGGTTGGTGTTTCCGGCTTCACGATTTTGGCAGTGTCGTAGCGACGCGGCTCTGAGGTGAATCTCGCCTCAATCTCCCTTTCTCCCTCTCATTTAAAGCTATTACTTAGGTCTGGTAAATTTTCTACAAAGAGAAGTCTGTTACCAACAATTTAAGGGATTTGTGGCACAATAAGTGTACATTTATTATGCACCAGTTGCTATCTTTCCAGACGCTTAGACAATAGGCAAGTTGGCACTTCATCACCCTCGAAAAGCCGGCGTCATTAAGTATCCATACTTTTGGCCATTTGACAATCTTTTTAGCACAAAAAATCAATTATGTACGTTTTTGTTTAACCCCAATTAAGTGTTTTTTGACTACATAAGCACTTCCCCCTTAATTGGTTGTGCCTCACCTCGGGGTTGGCAGCGCTTCTACGTCTACTGAAAACTAGCGAGTAGTGTGTTTCCCCTCACCTTTGTCGATGCAGTATTCACTTTTCACTTCGCTGATAAGTGCCACGACCTGTCAGTTAGAGCAGAAAAGTGTTTGAGAAGGAAACCTTTGTGCTAGTTTCAGTCCTTTTTGAATACCTTGGTAGGTAGAAACGCTGGCGACGCCATGTCTTGCCGTCCGAGGAGATCATAACAACCGCCCTGATTAAACGTGCATTCAAACAATGACAAATTACTACAAGCACTGCACCAAGGCAACATTTAATGAGACACAATTTTTTCCCATACTTCAAATATTGCAGTCCATCTCTCGAAGAGCTCACCTCTTTCCACATCACCGCAGCAGCCTAAACAACAGCAGCAGCACCACCTCACCGAAACTGACTACAAGTCTGGCGGCACTGTCTCTACGATCATCACCACCGCCACCACCAGCTCCGCCCTGCATTCGACGGCATCATATTCCACCTTCGACGCCGGCACTGAAGTCGCTGTGCCAAGAGGCGGAGAATCTACTTCCACTTACCTCAACGACAGCCAACTTGACCCCTCCTCCTCATTCTGGCTCCTTCAAGAGACGCGTCAATTTTGCGGACAGTGCTCAAGTGGACGGAATGCCCTCTCCGACGCAGACACAAAACCGATCAATGGAAGAGCCTGAGGCGGTGGTGAAGATTAAACCGGCGATCAAGAAGGCTGATGTGAAGGATGCCGATACTGTGGTGAATGGAAAACGATCCCTGTAAGTTGACAAGCTTCATGATTAAAACCACCAAATTTCTAAGCCATTGGCGGAGACGGTTTGAGCTCGTCAGTCATTGACCAACGGCCTTACCGCAGTTCCACTGCTGTAGACGCATGACGGAGACTTTCTATGATATTTGAAGCAGACAAATCGGCTCCTCTTAACATTTGATGGCGAATCACACAAAGGTTGCTGATACTACACATTTAGTATGTCATTATAAAGACTTGTGAATCACGTTAGACACCATGTCTCTACAGGATGATTGTATAAAGAGGAGTGATGGTGAATTACGCCACAATGGGGAAGAAACAGTTCCACGACTGCTCGCAAATGAAGAACCCAACATCTACCGCCCACTTCTGAGACAGCAATCATTTTACCTCCACAGGACCGTGTCAGGTGAACGGCGGATGAAACTGAAAGAGGTTCTTGCAAACGAAGGCCATTGTTTTCATCTGGAGACGTTGATCGAAGAGGACTACGGAGCGTTCTTTCACGAGTTGAGTGTTTCAGTATTCGCGGTATTGTCACCTTTCGGCGGCCAAGCTCTCCA